ATTAATAAGTTGCAGCTGCCCCAAACAGACCCTAATACATTCAATTATCTGACTTTGTATTGTTTTTACTTCAAAACAAACACCTAAAGCGATAAAATGCAGGGAAATGAAATATAAAAATGAAATATAATATCCTGCTTAATATAGTGGAACAAGCCCATTAAAAAGGACCATTATTCTTGTTTACTTTCTGTTATGAAAGTTCTATGAGGATTTGGGTGATTGAAACTCTTTGTGAGACTTATATGTACTAAAATTAGTTATACTAGTTTAAAGATGAGACTCTACTAAATTAGCTTTTCACTTATTATCTAAGCTTGGGATTCTCTAGATGATACCATGCCATTCTACTTTTAATTTCTCTAAAGCATATTTTTCTTCATGTTAGTGTTTATTCCTACTTATCTTTAATGCATCATATTTTTTGAACTTTGAAAGGTAAACAATTGCCTAAAATTTTCCAGCTAAAATGCACTTATGACATAGAACTTATAATTTCTAGAAGTCTTTTAAGCATTGCATGTTTGATTTTACAGGGAATTCAATTTTGAAGTCATAATTGTTGATGATGGCAGTCCTGATGGTACTCAAGACATTGTAAAACAACTGCAGCAACTATATGGCAAAGAGCGCATTGTAAGGCCATTATTCACTTCTATTTTAAAAGATTGTATTTTTAAATTGATTTAATCTGGTGATTTAATTATCTGACTGATTATATTGGCGCCGTTCACTTTGTTGAATGATTTGATGATTCTAAGCTATTAAGAGCAAGACCCGAGAAGCTTGGTCTAGGTATGTGCTGGCCATACTTTTTCCAGCTATTTTCAAATAAAAAAGATTTCAGTTTTTGACCTAGAAAGGCATACAGGAACTGCCTATTGTCATGGGTTGAAGCATGCAACTGGAGATTTTGTTATAATCATGGATGCAGATCTGTCCCATCATGTAAGAATGCTGCTCAATGTCTTATGGCTATAATTAAGTTTTTTTGTGTCTTTCTCATCATTGTTCTTTTTTCTACTCTTTTTTGCAGCCAAAATATTTACCTAGTTTCATCAGGTGAGTTTCAATATTATGGCACTTTCTACGTTTAATATGACCCTTGAGACATTTCAATACATATTCCCCTTTTAAATTTTGATAGGTATAAACACCTTTCTTTATGATTTTGTTGGCAAGCTTCCTTTCCTCATATATATATATTTTTTTGAAGAGTTGGTCATAAAAAAATTTGACTGACGCATTTTATTTTTTATTTTTTTGGTATCTACGTGGAACTGAATTTCATTTTACATATCCGCCACTAAATTCTTTAAGACCAAACAGATATACCACTCTTTCATCTCCTACTTCTTCCACAATGCAAATAGGGGTGAGAATGACCTTGTTTTTAGCCGAATCCAATTCTGGTTTGAAATTGGCTTGAACTTATGTAAGTTGACTTAAAATCAATTCATGGATTTAACTGATTTGATTGAGTCAACTTGGCCTGAATAACAACTTAATTTCAAGCTGGTTGGAAGCAACAAAATTACGAGTCAATTCAATTTTGAATCAAATTGACTGGAAATCATTTATTTTTCTTC